AAACTTTGTGCTTGCTTTAACTCTTAATGCCTGGTCTGGTGTCTTCAGTCATCCTTTATGCCGGGACATGAACCCGGGCAACAAGGCTCAGGTATCACTGTGAGGTGAGAGTCACACATGGCTTCTCGCTGCGTTGTTCTCCAGCGAGTTCTCAGTGGAGTGCTGAGCCCCCAGCCGGACCAGTTCTGGAACTGGTGTCAGGAGCAGACGCCGAGACACCCACTTGCCCTCCTGAGGGCACAGCTGTGATTCTTCAAGGAAAGCCCGGTTCAGTCTCTTTTACCCAACACTGAATTAACTAATGAAGTCACCCTACATCACAAGGGACAGCAGCACTTCCATGGAGATTACACTGTCATTTTAAGGACACAGTAGAGTCACAAGTGACATGCTTTATGTACTTTCTGTGTGGGCAGAGTCTAACCAACAGGTAAATCTCCACTCCCACGCAGACGCGGGTATATCATCTCAGCTCAAATTATAATCCCAGGCAAATAGTTCACAATACCCATCTCCAAAATAACTGGGGCAAAATGGACTGAAGGTGTGGTTCAAGTGGTAGACTACCTGCTTTGCAAATGCAAAGCCCTGAGTTCAAACCCCAGTCCCACTCCACCCCCCAAAAAAATCCATTCTCCTGCGTGAGGTGCCTTCTCATTACAGATTTGTATTAACAAGAAATTTTTTTTTGTGGTATTGGGACTTGAACTCAGGGCCTACACCTTGCGCCACTCCACCAGCCCCTTTTTTTCTGATGGCTGTTTTCAAGATAGGGTCTCTTGAATTATTTGTCTGGGCTGGCTTCAAACCAAGATCCTCCTGATCTCTGCCTCCTGAGTCTCTAGGATTATAGGCGTGAGCCACCGTCTCCTGGCTGATTTTTTTGTTTTGAGACCATGGCTTCAAACGCTCAATTCTCCTGCCTCAGCCTCCTGAGTGCTGGGATTACAGGTGTGTGTTACCATATCTAGCTTGTAATAGATTTTGAGGATGGAAAACAGTAACTTCGAACCTCAAGCTACATAATTATCCCCCTAAAATGATTCCGTCTTTTTCATGAGTGACCTATGTTATAATATTTGTACTCAGTTATCGTTACATTTCAGACTTCATCAATAAAAAGTGTAGACATTTGTTTCCCCGCTTGTTACACATATTTCATTCAGCATTTTTAAATTGTCTATGGAAGGGACTTTTTTTCTTTAAAAAGACTTACCTCCCTGTTGATTTTGTAAGTTGATTCTTCTACCTAGCAGCCTTGTTGAATTTTGTGTTCATTAGGATTACGTTCAACTAAGTGGGTTAGAAAACCCACTTGTGGAAAAGGTCAGTCGGGCGCCGTGTGAACTCAGTTCAGCAAACAGAAGCCTTTGCAGGTTTTTTGGTTTGTTTTTGGTCCTGGAACCCAGGCTCTCATACCAGGCTAAAAGTGGGAACAGATTCCATATGGGGAACTGATGATCACTAATTATCGGAAGGGTCGGAGGTGGAGGTCACGACACCACAAACTGTGGTCCATGGAAGATGGTCTTACCTCACCTCTGGACACTAGCCAGGGCTGGCCAGGTTGACGCCAGTCAGCCACCGTCATGGAGTGTGGTGCCGTGTGTCACTGGGGCTGGCCCTGGCCTGTTTGGATCTGGTTCTGCAGAACCTCATCTGCTCACTTCATGGCCTCAGTGATGTCCACCACTCCACCTGCGTCACTAGGAGCCATACCCTGACTCACCACAAGGCTCTGACCACTCTTTCTCAGTTCCTCTCCAGAGAAATGGCAGTGTAAGAATGAAGCCCAGGCCTGGCACTCCAGGGCACAGGGCAGTCCGCAGTCCTCCTCCCCCCGGTTGCCTGGGTCTGGCAGGTACCTGTCTGCGGTTCCCCTGAAAGTGTCCACCCACACATTCCTGCGGTGTAAGCTGTACCACTCCCAGCTTCCCAGGCCAAGCCTCATTTGTTCCCCTTGACAGCCCCGGGGAGCTGCCCAGGCTCTCCACACCCCGCTGCCTGGGCGAGGACACTGAAACAGAGGATACTCAAGTTTGTCCATCACCCTGGTTTGTCAGTGTCTCCATGGGAGGGGCCCCTGGGGCCCTGGAGGTCGCAGTGGGTGTTATGACGCCACACCCAAGCAACAAAGCCTATGGCCAAAGAGGAGGATTCGGGCATCTCCTGCCAGCCCACTTTCCAGCACTTCCTTTACACAGACCATCGGTATTTGCAGAGAACTTGGTGATCACACCCCATTCCCCGTCCACATAGCACACACCCTCTGACTGCTTCTTCATTCCTGCCTCCCATGACCGGGACGGAGGCCGGCCCCTCCCAGGACCTGTGAGCAGCCATCCTGAGCCTCTTCCCCATGGTGGTGCTGAAGCGAGGCTGCCCTTGGTCCTCCTGTAGCGGGACTAGTGGCTGCCCTAAGCCAGGCTTTTCCTAGGTGCCAGGGGTCAGGGACTCAAGGACCCCCAGAGTGAGGGGCAGGCAGCATGAATTGGACACAGGTCAGACGAGAGCCAGAGGAACGGGGGAACGTCCCCCGAGATGGACAGCTTGGCACCGTGCTCTCCACAGGCAGAAGGCTGCGCTGTAAACACCCATGTCCGGCCCCTCCACTTCCTATCAGGGCAGGGCTGCCAGCCGTGCAACTGGAATCCCAGTCTAGCTGGGGGCTTTCAAGACGGGACGTCAGGGAACTCTCTTGGGACCCACCTCAGTGTCCAGCCCTCAGTGCCCGTGTGTCTGGTACATGTGCACTGACGTGTGCAAGTGTGTGTGTGGTGCCTCTACCAGCACCTCCTGGCACCTCCAGCCCAGCCTGCCCGGGTCAGAACCGGGACCAAACTCAGGCTGTTACTGGGACCTATCATGGGAGGGGCCTGCCCACCATGGGTGTCCCCCCTACTTCACAACGGGGAGCAGCAAGGACCCCCTCCCTTCCAGGAATCTTTTCTGTTCCCAGCCCTGTATGTGCTGTGTGACTCCAGTTGGCCACAGACAGGACATCTCTGTTTACGGATGTACCAGATGACCCTGTGGTCACACCCACCCTCACCTTTCCTTGATAAGGAATGTGGTTTGACTTCATTTTCCCTCAAGGACCAGACCTGGGAGGGGGGCTGGGCTGGGGGAGGGAGATGGTGCAGGTGGGTGAGGCAGGGGTCCAGGAGTGCTGGGCCTTTATCCTGCAGACTCTCACCTGCCCAGCTGAGAGCTCTTGACATTTGGGTGAGCACGGGTGGGAGGTGGGGCTGGCCATTGCCCCACCAGAGTCATGGCTGCACACTCTACAAACTTCACAGTCTCTGTCAAGGAACTTATAGTCAGCTTGGACCCTAGACACAGCTGGGGAATAAAGGTACCTGGCTGTCACACTAGCAGCAGGTCTGTCTCCATGGTCGGGTCCCACCACAGAGTTCTGGACAGGGTCCAGCATACAACAGGCGCTCAGCAAGTGTGCGGTGACTATGAACAATAGGTGATTGGAGGGGCAGTGGCCACAGAGGACAAGGGATGAGGATGGGACCCCTGCTGGTGCCTCTTCTGCGCTGCTCATCCCTACCCCACACACTTTCACTGGGACCCACAAAGCCAGCATTTCAGGAGCTGATAGAATATTTGGGGTCCTCATTCCATCTCACACTAAGACATGCACTGTGGCCTGAGCTGAGTGGGCTCCATATGAGGTGCGACTTGGACCCAGGCAACTGCAGGGCCCCCAGGGTCCCCCCACTTGGCCCTCCTGAGGTGGGGCACAAAAGACACAGGTTCCAGGGCCCACAGCAGCCTTTGGAGGTCAGGCCCCCAGGTCCCTACCCAGGATGCTATGGGTCTCAGGTCACATGGGGCTGGTCTGAGGGTTGCACAGTCTCCCGTGGCTGGGGCACATCTCTTGCTTGGCCACCCCAGGCCCCCTCTTGGCCACCCCAGGCCTGGGGGGCAGGGAGAGGATGTTATCTGGAGGCCCTGTGGCTGCTCAGACTCTCCATGCTGCTGGGCTGACCAGGTGGCTCTGCCCAATGGATAGGGACAGCTCAAGGTCAGTTTGGTTTTTTTTGGTGAGACTGGGGTTTGAACTCAGGACTTTGTAAATCAGGGGTTGTAAATCAGGCACTCTACCACTGGAGCCATACCTCCAGTCCTTTTTTATTTTTGCATTTATTTTATTTTATTTTTTTTTGAGATAGGGCCTCTCTATGTAGCCCAGGCTGGCCTGGAACTCATGATTCTCCTGCCTCAGCTTCCTGAGTGCTAAGATTATAAGTGTGCACCACGATGTCCAGCAAGAGCCTCTTGTTCTGAGCTGTCGGGGCCCCGTATAGGTCTGGGCTGGGGTTTGGGGTTGCCTCTCTGATGGGTGGGTGGAAGGTGGTTTGGTCTCTGTGCACCCCAACCCTTCCCTAGGAAGGTATTTCCTCTCCAGGGAGGGTCCGCCCTGCGTACCACCCCCACCACAGGGCCCCCATGCTGCCCACACACCCACTTCCCCACCCACTAAAAAATGGGGTTAGCAAAGGCAGGTAGATGAGGTCACCTTTCACTGCATTGTCTACCTGGCAGTGCCCTGGCTCTGCAGCTGAGGGTACAGAGAAGAGGAGGGCCCCTCACCCCAGGAGAGAGAACTGCTAAGTCCCGCTGGTGCCAATGGGGAAACTGAGGCCAACCTGAGCAGGAGGAGGCAGCCCTATCTCCTTGCACCCAGGCTTTTATCAACCTGCCCTGTGGGGAGAGGGATGGGCTCAACTTCCTGCCTGGGTCTCACAGCTGGAAGCTGGGCTGACTCAGACTTGGCCCCCTGCCCTCCCTCCCCCGCTCCCCTCCCACCCCGCAGGAGGGCTGGCTTCCCGCTGGCCAGGCTGCCCGTCTAGAGAGTAGTACAGAGGCTGCTGCAAAAGCCCACAGAGGTTGGACTAGAGCCCTCCAGGGCCCACAGGCCCCTCACTGACCTGGAACAGTGGTGTAGGTGGGGACAGGGGACTCAGAGTCACTGTCCTCCACAGACCATGGCCTTGCTAACAGCTCGATGCCCCCTGGAGCCCTGTAGGACGCCCACCCATGGCCACCTACTGCTGCTAGTGCTCACTCTTGGTGAGTATGGGGCAGGCTGATCACCAGAGTGGTGAGGGTAGCCCAGGGCCCTTCGAGGGTTGGGACCTTGGGAGGGGTTCAGTCTGCCTCACACTGGGCCCCTGGGGCTGTGGGCAGGTGGCTAGAAGGGATCAGAAGCTGAGCACAGTGGGTGTCCTGGGAGCAGTGTTGATCACCCTGAAGAAGTGGGAGGCCCGGGCTCCCTGTGTGTAGGGCAGTCCATGGGCTATAACTCCATGAGGGGCAGAAGCCCTAACTCTCCCTCACCCTGCAGACCATGCACTGGGCTGGGGCTGGGGAGAAGTCTAACTCTGTCCCCTTCCCAGGGTTGGGGGATACCCCAGCAGCCCCTGTGCCCCCTCCAACCTCTTGCCCTCTGTCCTGCAGGGTGGGTGCAACCTCTGAGGGCTGCAGAGACGGGAGAGGTGAGGTCCTCTGGGGACACGGGAGGGCTTTCTGGTCCTGGGTGGAGGTCTGTGCCTTGCCTGCAGTGGGAGGCACGGCACGGACCACATTCTCTACCACATGCGTGAAGACGTATCAGCCCTGAGTGCTGCTTTTCAAAGGTACACATTGGCAAAGGTATAGCTGCACTCTGGAAGTAGCCAGGTCAGGAAGTAGTTAAGCCCATGAATCCAAGACATAAGCTCCAGGAAGCCCCTGGGCTCAGAGAGTAACTGGGCCCAGAGCGCACCTGGACCTTGAAGCAGCTGAGCCCAAGATATAGCAGGCCTGAGAAACACCTGCCTGAGAGAGCTGTTAGCCAAGCCTTGTTTCCAGGACACTGTGCAACTCGACCGAGTCTTGCCCGGCACAGGTGACTTTGCCAGGTGGGTCCAGTGCCCTGCAGGCTTCAGGGGCTCTGGTGTCTTGTGGGCTGGGTGGCCAGGTGCCTGGGTCCTCATCCTCCACTGTCTGCCATGCCTGCTCCTTGTTGATCTCTCTCTGCCCCCCTCATTCCCTGCCTGGTTGGGCTCAGGGACGGAGGGGACCGCCCTTCCCCCACCCAGGGAATAGCCATCCCTTGCCCTCCAGGGTGTGGCCTGGCCCAGGGAAGTCACAAGGAGATCTGGGGTCCTCAAGGGAGGGGGCTCTGTGGGAGGAGGGGCTGCTGTGGGGGGGCACCTTGGGAGGGCCTGTACTGGGTGCACACTCTGGGCTCTGCTCCCAGCCTCGCCCCAGACCTCCTCCTTAGCTTCTCATGTGCGGAGGTGTCTGGCCTGAGCACGGAGCGTGTCCGGGAGCTGGCCATAGCCGTGGGGCAGAAGAATGTCACGCTCCAGGTAGATCAGGTCAGTTGCTTTTCTGTGGTCTTTGGGTGGGGTGGGAGAGTTGGTGAGTGGGCTCTGGGGTCTACCACACACTATTGCCCACCTCCATCCCCACCCAGATCTGGCTGGTGACTCCTCCCAAAGCTTCTCTGGCAACCTAAATTGACCACTAGGGTGCATGTTCCCACTAGGGTCTGGAACAAGTCTGAGGCAACCTGGCTGTCCACCTTCTGGGGACCTGGGGCCAGCCTTCAATGTTTGGTCCCCCAAACATGGTTGATAGCGGCATGATTCAAGGACAGGCTGAGACAGAGAGGGGGAGAGGACAGCCAGCCCAGGTGCTGTGTGCCCAGCCTGTATATGTCCAGGGTCTCGTGACAGCTCTGTTGGTGGCAGGGCTTTCATGTCATAGGCTCTGTGTGAGCAGGGCTAGGGGGCTGGAATGTACAGTGTGGGGAGTGAAGGACCTGGGGGGCCCTGCCCATCATGGGGGATTATGGCCTACGCATTCCAACTGGACATCCTGATCTCCTGGCAGCTGCGCTGTCTGGCACATCGCCTCTCTGAGCACCTTGCCCCTGAGGACCTGGACGCCATCCCAGTGGACGTGCTGCCCTTTCTCAAGTAGGCTTTGTGCTAGGAGCCTGGCCACACCCTCTGCACCCCGGACCTTAAGGCACAGGAACTGGGTGTCTCTGGGTGGCCCTTGGGGAGGGGAGTGCAGTAGTCAGCACAGCCTGCCCTAGCACCCCTTTCCCACAGCCCGGCTGCATTCCTGGGGCCCCAGGCCTGCACTAGCTTCCTGTCTCGAGTTTCTAAGGTCAACATACACGTGCTCCCTCGGAAGTCTCCCGAGCGTCAGCGCCTGCTTCTTGCAGCTCTGTCCTGCCGGGTATGGAATGGGCTAGGTGGGAGCAGGGTGGTGAGGGGCTCAGTGGACCTCAGAAGTCACTGAGGCTGAGTCACTGAGGCTGACTGCTTGCGCAGGGAGTGCGGGGTTCTCGGGTGAGTCAGGCAGACGTGCAGGCTCTGGGAAATCTGGCTTGTGACCTGCCTGGGAGCTTTGTGGCCGACTCAGCGGAAGCCCTCCTCCCTTGGCTAGCGGGTTGCCCGGAACCCCTGGACCAGGACCAGGAGGAGGCAGCAAGGATGGCTCTGCAGGGTGGAGGACGCCCCTATGGGTACGTGGGGGTGTCTGGGACCTTGAGGGTATGCTCAGGCTGGTGTATATGTGGGCAGCCAGTGAGGACATTTACAGCCGTGCTGGGTGGCCCAGGGTCAGCTGTCCCCTACTGCACCTTGTCTATGGCTGTCCTTTTCACAGCCTCCATCCGGGGACAGTGCCTGACTCCTGGCTCTGTCTCCCGCTCTGCCTGCATTCGGGGGTCCTTGATTAGGGTTCCTATATCTGGACAGCCCCCCGTCAAGGTGGTCAGCTTCCAGCCTGAATGCTCTGCAGGGCCTGTTGGCTGTGTTGGATCAGCCCATCATCCACAGCATTCCCAAGGTGAGACCCCACCCCTAGCCTGACTGTGAAGCCGCTGGGCCTGGAGGCTCATCCTGCCCCTCTCTGTCCTCAGAGTGTCACAGCTGTGTGGCTGCAGCGCGTCTCCAGGAGCCCATCCTGGCGGGGATCTGAGCTTCCTGCCCTGCTCCCGAGGTTCCGGCGGGGCACAGAGAGTGAGTTTGCACCTGCCCGTCAGGAAGTAGGCTAGGGGAGGACACTGAGGGTGGGGGGACTAGCATTGTCCTGCCCCCGCCCGTGACCCTTCCTGGCTCCTCAGTTTGTTAGGTGGACCTCACAGAGTGGGCAGAATTGCCCCATTTGTCCCAAGGGCATGGGAGGAAGGAGAGGCTGAATGGAGCAGGCTGCTCCTGACTCTTGCCTGCCTCTGCAGAGAGGGCCTGCCCTCCAGAGCGGAAGCCCCAAGTGGTGGATGAAAAACTCTTCTTCTATGAGGAGTGGGAGCTGAAGGCCTGCGTGGACGGTGCCCTGCTGGCTGCCCAGATAGACCGTGTAAACAGGGTTCCCTTCACCTACCAGCAGCTCAGCATCTTTAAGCACAAATTGGATGAGGTAACTCATAATGGGCTTCCCTGCCCACCACCATGCTTAGGACCAACCCAGTTGCCCAGGAGTGGCTGTGGCCCTCACGGTCACTCCCCTCCCAGTTCTACCCACAAGGCTACCCTGAGTCCCTGATCCAGCGGCTGAGCTACTTCTTCCGCTACCTCACCCTTGAGGACATCCAAAAGTGGAATGTGACCTCCCTGGAAACAGTGAAAAATCTCCTCAAAGTTGCTGAAAGGAAACAGATGGATGCTCAGGTGACACCTGCTTGAGGTGTAGCATGAGGTCATGCAGGTTGGTGAGGGGTACATCTCTCCTTCTCCCAAGGCACTTCAGTGGCCTCCTCCCACAGGCAGCTGCCCTGGTTGCCCGCTATCTGCTGGGAAAGGGCCAGTTGGACAAAGACACCCTGGACACCCTGGCCAACATCCGTCCTACCTACCTGTGTATCCTCAGCCCTGAGCAGCTGGACTCTGTGCCCCCCAGGGTCTTGTGGTGAGTGCCAGGGGCTCTACGGGCCAGGGGGCCCATACTGAACATTTGGGTCACCTCACTCATACTTGACTCCACACTGTGCCCCAGGACGGTCGAGCCCCAGGACCTGGACTCGTGCAGCCAGAGGCAGCTGGACATCCTCTATCCCTATGCCCGCTTGGCCTTCCAGAATATCAGTGGGCTGGAATACTTTGGAAAGATCAAGGCCTTCTTGGGTGAGGCTGGGGCACACATGGCCAGGTGGATCTTTATGTGCCCACTCATACAGCCAGGTCCTTACCTAGCCAGGCTGCCTGCTGTCCTGACTGGGAGGTCACCCCCTCTGCTCTCCAAGTGTGTACGCTGAGAAGCTGGGGAAGGGGGGTTCTGTTTCTGTCTGATCCTGCTGAGCTTCTGCTTCTCCCACCTCTCTACCCCAGAGGCTCAGGCCCTGGTCAAGCAAAGCCGGGCTGAGGAATTCCTTAGGAAGTAGGCAATCTCTGTAAAGAATGTGGGCTACCTATGGTCAGAGGGTGGGACTGGGGTGTGTTTTCAGGTCTCAGACTTGGAGCCCCACTCCCTGTGCAGGTGGGGCCCCGAAGGAAGACCTGCAGGCATTCAGTGGGCAGAATGTCAGCATGGACATGGCCACATTCAAGAAGCTGCCACTGGAGACCTTGGTGGTAGGTGGGGGCGGGGCCTCTGGAGGTACTGGGACTTGGGCTATGGAGGAAGGGGCTTGGTAGGTGGCCTTACTGGAAGCTGAGGGGACCTATAAGGTGTAGGACCTAGGAAAAGAGGTCCCCTATATGGGAGGAGGGGCTGGGGGGTGTGGTCAGTGGAAGGGGCAGGGCCTGAGGTAGAGCAGGGCCTTAGGATAGGCGACTATTGAATCTGGGGCAGCTGACCTAATATCCCCCAAGTCTGGAGGGCCTGAGGTTTGCACACAGTGGAGCCCTCAGTCTTCCCGGGACCTGGCGACCCTGATGGTTGTTTGATGCTCTCCCAGCAACTGACCGTAGATGAGGTGCAAAAACTTCTGGGACCACACGTGGTGGGTCTGCAGGCAGAGGAGAATAACAGCCCAGTGCGGGATTGGATCTTCCGGCAGCCGCAGGAAGACCTGGATAGGCTGGGGCTGGGGCTCCATGGTGGCACCCCCAATGGCTACCTGGTCCTAGACCTCAACTTCCGAGGTGCGTTAGGGCAGCCTGGGGGCAGATTTAGGGTGGGTAGAAGCAGGTGGGTCTGAGTCATCCCTTCTTTGTACAGAAGCCTTTTCCAGGGGAGCCCCCCTCAAACGTGGACTTGTGCTAGCATTGATTCCAGCTCTGCTCCTGGTCTTGACTCTGAGCTAATGCCCCAGCCCATCATGGAGCTCCACCTGTCCAGGAGTCACTGTCTAACCCCAAGGGCACTTGAACCCAATAAACAGTAGTATGTCCCCCTACAGACTTGTCCTATGGTGTTCTCAGGACCAGGTGAAAGGGTGTGACTTTGGGGTTTCTCGTGATCCTGTTAACGTGGCTCCCTGAGTTCAGTCCTCCCATTGTCATGGAAAGGAGGTACAAGGTTGGGCCTCTAGGCAGGTGGGGGTCATTCAAGGCCTTTCTGACATGATTACTGCTGTCCCTGAGGCGATGGAAGTCCTGTTCCCAGCCCTCAGCTGAAGGCTGTAGGAAGCCAGAAAGGTCTGGGCCCTGGTGAGAGGGTCTCTATGCCACTGCTGGGGCCCCAGCAAAGATACAGGCTGCAGAATAGCCTCACGCTTTATTCAGACCCACCAGCAAGAGGAGTGACATCAAAGTACAACCTAGTCCTACTTGTCCTGATGGCCTGGGCCTTGTGTCCCCCTGCTGGCCTGGGCCTTGTGTCCCCCTGCTGGCCTGGGTTGTGGCTAAGCAGGTCCTGGCTCTTCATGGGCCCAGGTCCTGGGAACTGAGGTATGCAGGGCCATCCCTGCAGGCCTCCTAGGACATGGGACAGAGCAGGTCCCCTAGTCCTGGAGTCCACACTCAGGCTGGGCAGGCGTCCAGCTCCACCAAGGAGCTCCATTTTTTCTGCATGTGATGCCTGTGGGCCTGGCTACCCTGGGGCAGGGCTGTCCCAAGTGGCCGGGGCCCTGATGCCCTGAGAGCAGTCCCTGTTGGGCTCAGAGGTGCCCAACACAGCAGCAGATACAGGAGGCTGGAGGGCAGGACCACAGTGAGCGGCAGGTATCCCCGGTGGACTGGAGGGCTACCTGCAGGCGGAATAAGGAGACAACTCATCAGTCCTGGGCTGAGGCAAGGATGGTAGCCTCAGTGACCATCTATGGCTGCATTTCTGGGCCCAGCTGGAGTTTGAAAGCTTCCCTGACCCCTTCCTGTGGTTCCATGGTTTTGAAGGAGGAAGTTTTATCTCTAATGGTTTAGCAGGCAATGACGCCTATGTCACCTGATCTCATGGGGAGGCAAATGAGGAAGCAGGCAGGGGTCCACATATGGGCCCCAGCAGAGGAAGGGGAGCATGGGGCATGGGCCATACCTGAGGCAGGAGCCACAGCACTGTTTTCTTGCAGGCCTGAGGTGTGGGCTGGGTGGGGCACTGGGTGGGTAGTACGGGAGGGCTCGCTGGTCAGGTGGGCAGGGGTAGGGACGCTGAGGTTGCTGTCCAGGCCCAGCTCGCCCAAGGCGGACCTGTTGAGGCCGCGCAGCCAGGAATTGATGGTGGGGTGGCTGCGGGCCTTCTGCAGGTCCCCCACGTTCTGGCCCAGTAATGTTGTCACGTTGCTGACACTCAGGCTCTGCGAGGGAAGCCATGTGGGAGGAACAAGTTTTCATAGGGTTGCCTTCTGGGACCGAGGGAGGGTCCCACAAGGGTGGCACTCTCCCCACAAGACTGAGCACAACACGGAACGGGAGACTCAGGGTCAGCCTGGAGGAATGGTGTGGGCTCTGCGTTCCTCTGGCTTTGGGGCTCTCAGCTTGGCCAGACCTGCCCTGCATCCGCCAGGGCAGCCCCAGGGCTCACCTGCAGCACGCTGGGGTTGAGGTTGGTGAATGTGTCAATGTCCATGGAGACATTTGCCTGGGCCAGGTGTTGCAGCTCCTCCACAGACGCACCACCTGGGTGGGGGGCAGTGGTGAGAGGAGGCAGAGAAGAGGGCATGGATGGAGAAGGGGTTTGCTGCAGGCAGGATAGGGGCTCACCAAGGTAGGGGCGCATGAAGCGGTAGTAGGCATCTGTGGTCTTGGTGCCACCAAAGGCCTCACGAGCTTTGGCAAACAGTATGTTCTTCCGACTCTGAGGGCAGGAGGAGATGTCCAAAGCCCCGGCCAGCCTGGGGGTGGAGGTGAGGCTGACCACCAGGCTGGGAGCTCCTCAGCCCTGAACAGGTGGACATGACCCCTTCTCCCCGAAACACAAGTTTTCTCCTGCTCTCTGCACTGCGGTGGAACAGTATCCCTTCCCAAACTTATATCCACCTGGAACCTCGGAATGGGACCTTATTTGCAAATAGGGTATTGGCAGATAAAATCAGATTAAAAGATGAACTTAGGCTAATTTAGGTTGCCTCTGAACCCAATGCCTGGTGTCCTTTATAAGAACAGGGGAATTTGGACACAGATACACAGGGGAGAAGCGTGTGAAGATGGAGACAGGCACTGCAGATGTGTCTGCACGCCAAGGAACACCAACACTTGTCAGCAACCTCAAGAGCTGGAAAGGTGGGAAGGGCCCTTCCCACAGGGTCCAGAGCAGGGCCTGGCTCTGCTGACCCTGACTTTGCACTCTGGCCTCCAGAAATGCTAGAGAATAAATTTCTCATTTTAAGGCACCTCATTTATGGTACTTTGTTATGGTGTCCCTACAACACCCATAAATTCTGACATCCTGGCCCAAACTGGACTTCTTCTCCAACCTCAGTTTCCCCTGTGTCCTTCGCCTGGCAACAGCTTGGCTGGGTGGCTCACCGGAACTCCGAGGGCCGAATGGTCTGGATCTGCCGGGGACTCATCCAGCAGAGGCGGGAGCCCCCCATGGCCACTAACAGGGCACCAGTGACTGTACCATTGTGGTCCAAGAATTGCTGCAGGACTGCCTGGAGGAGGTGGGCCAGGATCAGCAAGGCCAGGGGAACCAGATGGTCCCTTGGCCACCGCACATAGTACTCACCTCCGTCTGGTTATCCAAAGCCACGTCTGAGGCCAGCAGAGCCATGACTGTGTCCTGGGATGTAATGTTCCACTGGTCTATCTCAGCACGGGAGTAGAGGTAGACCAGCGAAGTGATGAGCTGCAGCTGGTCCTCAGGGATACCCCTTGGGTAGATCTGAGGCGGGCAGAGGGGTTAGTCATGGGCCAGTGTCCTCCACCCCGGTCCTGCTCAGCCCATCTGCACACCTGAGTGAGCTTGGCCTTGACGATGCGCTGGCACTCGGCAGGCAGTGGGTGCTGCAGCAGTGGGTCCAGGTTGGCTCTGAGCACGTGACTTCCCAGGCAGGACTCCAGCTGAGTGCAGTCATAGCGCACCAGGAAGAGGTTGTCCTGCAGCGTGGCTGCGGTGATGTTGCCACGAACACAGGATCTCCCTGCAGGGTACACTGCTGACCTGGCTGGTTGACTGAGTGGACCACCACTGCTGGCTTGAGGCCCATCTTTACCTTAACTTGTTCCCCATGCTTGACCTCTAACCCAGAATTTGGCCTAGACCAGGCATGATGGGGAGTCCAGGCTGGGGAAGGTACACCGTCCCCAGCCCACAATGACCACACTAACCTGTGTTCCGCTTGGGCCTTGAGCACACTAAGTTGGCCCTGGACTCCAGGAAGCTGGTGACAAAGCGGCTGGCATCACACCGGCTGAGCCGCCCCTCCCGGCAGGCAATCACCATGCTACGGAAGAAGTCCAGGCGCACGTCCTGGCAGGGCAGGCGTGGCTGCTCTTTGTCATAGGGAAGGGCACCCTGGCCCTTCCTTCTGCCCCACAGATCCCCATGTGCTGTGACCAAAGCGCCTAGAGACACCAAGACTTGGTGCTCAGAGTAGCCAGGTGGCAACCCATTGGCCTGTGGTGCTCATGGCCAGCCCCATCTGGGCACTGTCCTACCTCCTGTATCTCCTTCCACAGGTGGGGGCTGATGTAGGTGGCCAGGGGTCCCAGGGCCTGCAGCCCCTCGAGGTTCCAGGAGCTAGGAGGCCTGAATACGAAGGGGGGCACGAGGTTGGGGGTGTCTGCCCCCGTCCCTCCCTGAGCAGGGTGGGAGGATTCCCAGCAGGTTCTCAGATGCACTTAGGTCCCCCAGCTGGTGCCATACTTGGTTCACAGGGTCTATCCTGCTGTGGTCACCCAGTGGTGTGGCATCATCCCAACCATGTGTCTCAGAGCCTGTAGCATCAGAGTGGGGCTCAGGACTGAGGTTAGAGGTCAGAGGTCACCAGGGCTTATCAGTGACCTCCAGAACCCAAACCCCAGACTGTCTTCTATCTCATCTCAAGGAGGGGAGCTACCCAGTCCCACCTGACCCCTCATATCCTGGTCCCTGTGACCCTCACCCACCCAAGCTGTGTCCTTCCACTGGCCAGCAGGGTGTTGAGAGCAGTCCTCTGGGCGGCGGTTAGCCGAGGACAACGCAGCAGGTTCTGCAGCACATGGGGGTCTGCGGTCACGATACTGGATGCGTCCATGTCACATACCAGGACCCCGAGGATCCTCAGGTCTGAGGCACTGAGCTGTAGGTGGGGCTTTCCCTGCAGGGACAGCAGGTCAGTGTTGAACAGGAGGCTCAGGACTGTTGCCCATCTTGTCCCCACGTGAGGTGCCTACCAGGCAGGCCAAGGCTGTGTGCCGCAGGGCAACCCTCTGGTCAGGCAGGTTGGCTAGCAGCTCTGTGTCCCCCTGTGCAGCACGGTGGGTGAAGGCCCGGCAGTCAGCTTCCCTCACCTGGCTCAGGCTGCAGGCACGTGGTAGAATGTCAGGGAGGTAAGACCAGGCTTCCCATCCACCTGTCCAAGGCCTCTGGGGTGGCCTGGGGCCAGAGAAGGCAGCTCAACCAAGGCTGGCCAGTGTCCTGAGTGGTATGGAAGCCATGGAGCTGAGCACTCACTTGTAGAAGAGCAGAAGATCAGGTGGGTGGAGCTGGAAGTCGCCCTGGAGGTCAAGCCACGCAGCAAGATTGGCCAGGCAGCTGAGCTGGGCAGGAGGGGCAGCAGGTCACTGTCTGTCCAGTCTGGATTGACCTTGGTGGAGCACTGCCCCAGGCCCTCCTCCCCTCAGCAGAAGGTGCACTTTAGCAAACAGTTGGAGACATGTGTGAGAAAATACTGCAGCACAGACAGAATTGAAGAGTCAGAAGAAACAAGGTCTGAGAGAGCAATAATCCTCATAACTGTAAGTGAACTAACTTTGCCATGAAAAAGAGAGGTTTTTAGATTAGCTTTGCAGTAATTCAGCTCGATGTTGTTTATAAAGTGCAAATATTAAAAGCAAGTCAGCATTGCAGGCTATTTGGTCCTTTTGTTTCTTTTACCAGCCTACTCCGATATCTGTGTCCCCGTACGGGGGCTCCGTGGATTTTGTCTTCCGGGGAACTGATGCACTTCATCTGAGCTGTCATATGTGTGCACAGATGCTTCTTTGTTGTCACTTTATTGTTCGTGGGATGTGCAGTAATGGTCCCTCAATCCAAGTAGATAGGATTACAGGTGTGAGCCATCAGCACACAGCTCTCATTCATTTCTGGTATTAGTAAATTGTGTCTTCTCTCTTTTTTCCCCACTGTTAGCCTGGATAGAGGTTTATTGATCTTTTCAAAGAAGCAGATTTTGGGCCTGAACGTAGTGGTCGTGCCTGTAATCCCAGCTACGTGGGAGGCGTAAATAAGAGGATCACAGCCTGAGGCCAGCTCTGGGCCAAAAAAAGCACAAGACCCTACCTGAAAAATAACTGAAAATAACTAAAGCAAAAAGGGAAGAAGTGTGGTAGAGGATTCACCTAGCAAGTGTGAGGCTCTGAATTAAAAAATTTAAATCTCAGCACTACAAAAAAGGAAGGAAGGAGGGAGGGAGGGAGGGGAGGGAGGAAGGAGGGAGGGAGGGGAGGGAGGGAGGGAGGGAGGGGAGGAGGAGGGAGGGGGGAGGGAGGGAGGGAGGGAGGGAGGGGGAAGGAGGGAGGGAGGGAGGGGAGGGAGGAAGGAGGGAGGGAGGGAGGGGAAAGGGAAAAGCATCTCTTGGTTTTGTTGATTTCTTGTTTTTCAGTTTCACTGGTCTTGGCTCCAAGTCTCACATTTCTTTCTCCTGCTTTCATTATAGGTCCTCTTCCTCCAGTTTCCCAACAGAAATCTAGGTGGTTGGTTGCAGATGTTTCTCCTCTCTCTCTCTCTCTCTCTCTCTCTCTCTCTCTCTCTCTCCTTCAATGTAACTGGAGTCTGAACGTACTATAGTACTTGAGCCACTCCCCATCCCTACTTACCCGAGAGACAGCATCTCTCTCTTTGCCAGGCAAGCCTAGAGCACTGTCTTCTTATTTTACGCTTCCTGCCATAGCTGGGATGACAGGTACGCACCCCCACACCCCGCTGTCTTTGTTTCAGATGGGGTCTCACCAACTTTTTTGCCTGGGCTGGCCTTGAATTATGATCCTACTGGTCTTAGCCTCCTAAGTAGATAGGACTATAGACGAGAGCCAAGGCGCCCGGCTCTTTCTCTTTTTCCATTAGCCACTCCACAAATATTGATAAACTGTGCTTTTATTTTCATATAGCTCAAACGTTTAAAAAGTTGTCTTGAGACTGCTTCTTTGGCCCAGGTATATTTAAGAGTGTGTTGTTTAAGCTGGGTGTGGTGGCTTACACCTATAATCTCAGGTACTCAGGAGGCAGAGATCAGGAAGATTGAGGTTTGAGGCCAGCCTTGGCAAAAAGTTCACAACACCCCATCTCAACCAATAAAATGGATGTGCCAGGTGCCGGTGAGTCACGTCTGTAATCCTAGCTACTCAGGAGGCACAGAGCAGGAGGACTGTGGTTTGAAGCCAGCCCGGGCGAAATAGTTCACAAGACCCTATCTTGGAAAAAAAAACCATCAAAAAAAAAATGGCTGGTGGAGTGGGTCAAGGTGTAGGCCCTGAGTTCAAACCCTAGTACTGAGAAATAAATAAATAAAAAGATAAGATGAAATAAAATAAAATAAAATGGATGTGGTAGCACTCCCCTGTCATTCTAGCTGTCTGGGAAGAGTAAATAGGACGATGGTATCCAGACCAGCTCAGGCATAAAAGTGAGACTGTTTGAAAATAAAGCAAGAAGGGCTGGGGTGTGACTCAAGTAGTCAGCACCTGCCTGACAAGAGCCAGGCTCAAAGTTCAAATCCCAGTACCACCAAAACAAGTCTTGTTTAATCTCCACGTATTCGGGAGTTCTCCATCTACCTCTAGGTTATTGGTTACTAGTCAGGTCCTGCTGTGGTCTAAGTGCAGGCATGGCATGATTTCTGGTCTTAGAAGCTGTGTCCTGTGTCCCCTGTTGCTGGATGAAGTCATCTACAGGTGTTAGTTCCATGCACTCAACGGGTGGAGCTGTTGCATTCAGCTGTGTCCTATGTCCTCTGTGGGATCCGTGTGGAAATCTCCAGCTGTCACCGTGGATTTGTCTCTTCCTCCCTCCAGTTCTGTCAGGTTTTGCTTTGTGTGTATCGATGCTCTGTGCTAGGTAAATGCATGTCAGAGTACTGTTTTCCTGGAGAATTGTCACTTCATCATGTAATACTTTTTTCTTTTTTTTTTTGAGACAGGGTTTGACTATGTAGTCCTGGCTGGCCTTGAACTCATGAGTCCTGCTGCCTTGGTCTCCTGAGTGCTGGGACTGCAGGTGTGGCCACCATCCCAGATTTGTAATGTCCCTCTTATCCCTATAAATGCCCTTGATTTCAGGTCTGCTTTGTCTGAATTAATGTAGAGATTCCTGCTTTCTTTTGATCAGTGTCATACTCATTTTTCCCACAAATTTACTTTTTTTTTTTTTTTCCAGTACTGGGGTTGGAACCCAGGCTTCACACATGCTAGGCAAGTGCTCCATCCTGTGTATTCATTCGTAATCCCCATGTGTCTTTGTAGTTAAAGTGGGCTTTTTGTAGAATTGGATCTTATATTTTGATCCACACTGACAATGTGGGGTTTTTGTTTGTTTGTTTGTTGATGCAGTGTCTTGCTATACAGTCCAGGCTGGCCTATTATGAGCCAAGCCTGGCCTTAAATTTATGATTCTCCTCTCTCAGCCTCCTGAGTTCTGGGATTATAGGCATGTCCTACCATGCCCAGCTTTTTGGCAGTGTTTTTTTTTTTCTTTTTTGGGGGGATTTGAATTCAGAGCCGCCTGCTTGCTCAGCAAGCACTCTGCCACTTGAGCCAGCCTTTTGTGCCTTCGTTCTTTGTCACACAGAGTCCAACATGAATGACGATCCTCCTACTTAAGACTTCCCAAGTAATGTGAACCACTATTCTCAGCTTTTTTGTTGAGAGGGGTCTGAAACCCCCTTCTGATCTCAAACTGCAATCCTCCTGATCTCTGCCTCTCAAATAGCTAGTATTACAGATGTGAGCCACCTGTAATGTTTTAACTGGTGCATTTAGACCATCAACATTCAAAATGATCATTGAATTTGGGGGATTAATAGCTACCATATTTTAAAAATTATTTTCTGTGCTTATCCTTTGAGGTATCCTAATGAATCGTGAATTATCTATAAAACTATTCCTGTGATATTTTTGACAGCAATTCAGAGCCACCTGAACACCCAACAAAAGGAAAACCCTGGAAACTCAGATGTCACTTTCTCCTCTGTGTCTTCTAGTGTCTCAAGTCCCCCATGTGAGCACCTGCTGATTCCACAGCTGGGCAAATACCATATAAGATATACATGTTCCTGCACACTACACGTTCTGCCCAAAGGAAATCACCCTGGATCTGAACACCCATTTGATTTGGTTTGATTTGATCCAGGGAAAGGCAGGAGCCAGAAGAAGTGATCAGGGAGAAGGGAATCGGTCCCTTGGAGCATGTGTGACACGCTGCTGTAAAATCTGGCCAGGCCAGGCCCATCAGTTAGTGCTGGCAGAGCCTGGGGCTTAGAAAGGGGGCCAGAGAGAAAAACCCCAGAGTTAGGGACTTTCCTAACTCTGGGATGGGGTCTTTATACTTTCCTGTATTTTCCAATTTTTCTTGAAGTTTACTACCAATTTTGTAGTAAACAGAGTGTCTCCTCTCCTTTCTTTCCTTCTTTTTACTTGGGTGGATGATGTCTGGTCAGCCACCAGGCTAGGTGGGCTTAGCTGGCCTGTCACAGTCCAGGCTCCTGCAGCCCCAGTCAGGGGAGAGGCCAGCAGGCTTTGAAACCTTCCCTGATGAGCCCTGGGGCCTGAGGACTCACCCCAAGATCACCACACATCAGGTGGGGGCTGGGGAAGGGCTGGAGAAGGCAGGTGAAGTCTTCCACTTCTCCAGGGAGATGAGGCAGGAAAACTGGACGACTGTTCGGAACCTGCCAATGTGGGCACTCCAGAAAATTGCCCGGGGGGAGAAATCCCTTCAGATGGCTGAAGAGCTGTGTTCTATGGGTTTAGAAGCTGGCAATTCTGCCCAGCCTGGGGTCTGCTGGAACACCGGTCCTGCTTGGCCAATCACCTTACTAACAGATCAGCCCATCAGTGATGACCTCTCCTTGGGAGAGAGCAGACTTTGAGATGTTCTTCTGCTGCAGAAGAGCTGTACACCCACGTCCTCCTGGCCTGGTCCTGCTTGGTTCCTGCCCCAGTCTCTGTTGGTCCCCCATGCAAACCAACCCCTACTTGCAGGCCCTACAGGAGGCCTGCATCCCTCTACACCTGTGCTCTCCCTCGTGGCGCTTACCTGCCAGGCTTTGAGTGGGATCTGCTGTGAGGCCAGGCTCCTGATCAGAGCTGAGAGCTGCTCTCGGGGCAGTTGGCTGGCTGGCTGGCACCAAAAGTCTTGCAGGAGGACGGCATTGGCTCTGGACAGAAGGAAGAGGTGCTGAGGAGTCAAGGGGCTGGAGGACCTGAGAGAAGCAGCCCTGAGGAAGGTACAGACTCCTGCAGGCGGGATTGAGTCAGATTCAACTGTCTCCACCACAGAGGAAGTGAAAGGCAGAAGTGCCTTGCAACAGGTGAGAGTCTGGCTGTTCATTCATTCATCCCTTCCCTCCCTCCCTCTAAGAGTACCCGGCTAGAGAAGGTGCTCAGGTATGTGGGGCTTAAATGTGGCCTCTTCCCTGATGTGGGTCTGCCATTGCCCACCACGGCCTAGCCTCAGCTGGCTTTTTGGCTGTTGAGAGGCTTGAAGGCCCCTTCTGGATGAGCATAGGCCAGGTCACTCACTGAGCCTTCCTTAGAGTATGACTCTATAAAATCACACACAGGATGGGAGATCTTGGGTGACATTGGCCTGGGCTCAGCAGGTCCTACTTGGGACCTGGTCCTGCCTGGCCGATCACCCCATTAATTGTTCAGCCCATCAGTGCCCACCACTCCTATTGGGGGGGGATGGTGGAGCCCAGGTGTGAGACTCCTGCTGGACAGTGCAAGGAAATGACAGAGTGGGAGGGAGCTAAGAGGACTCAGGGAGAAATGGTGGCTTAGGGGTCCCCAGGCCGGGCACCAGCAGGGGTTGTTGATGGCCTGGAGTCCCAAGGGGAGACCCATGGGGTCCTTTGCCAAGGTCATGGGCCTCTGATGATCAAGACCTCTCATACATCTGGCTGCACTTGACAATGGCCAGGGACCGAATGAAGCTGGACCCTGGGTGCTCCAGGTGACTGGTATTGAGGTCTCTGAGTGACCATGAAGTCAGGTCAGTCTCCCCAGGTCACAGTCTAGGAAACAGTGGCCCTGCCTGGGCAATCCCTGGACGTGGCTCCTCCCTGGGGATTTCCAACAATAGCCCCAGGACTCCTGCCCCTCATTCCCCTGCCCTGTCACAAAGCAGTCACAGAAAATACTTCATTTATATGTACTCACCTGGCCCATGGATCGGCCCCACTGGCCTCCAGCCCTCCCTCGGAGAAGCCCTCAGCCTGGGGATGGGAGCAATGGGCAGTGAGGGACAGGAGGAGGGTGAGACCTGGGCTCACCAGGGCACCTGGAACAGAGTAGGCTGTGTGAGCATGGGCTGTCTGGGGTCTGCGTGGGGTTCCCTGTGTCTCAGGATGGACCTGTGACCCCAACCACGGTCACTGTCTCTAGTGGGAGGAATGGCAGGAGACCTGGGGGACTATGGGAGTCCTGTGCAAGCCTGGACCTACAGGTACAGTGTGTATCTGATGGCATGCACATGTGTCCATATGGCTCTGTGTCCTCTCAATCTGACCCCTGAGACCCCAAATCAGTGGGGCAGAGGAACAGCCCCATCTTGTCCTGAGCCACTCAGCCTCTGCAGGACCTTACAGCAGGACTCAGGGGGCTTGGCCCATGTTCTTTCCTTGAAAGCCTGCCCCAGGAGGTGGGATTTGTGTCCAGGGGACACTTATCTCACTGGGCAGGGCAGACCACTTAGCAACATCTCTTCTCTAGCAGTGAAAGGGGCCATGGCGGGGCTGTTGGCCATGGTGGAAGCTGGCCACAGCCCAGGGGACTCCCCCCCCGCCGGATTGCAGGGTTGGGTATATGCCCTTCTTGGGAGGACAGGCACTAGGTAGGGTTCCCCTGGGGCTCCATGCTGCCCTTGCCTTGGGGCCTATGCTGGGTTGACCAAGAGGACTCAGTTCACATTCCACTGCTTGGACCAGTGATAGCCCCTTCTAGCCATGGCCTTGCCTGGTCCCCACTAGGATTCTGAGGCCTGGCTTGCTGGGGCTTCGCTCACAATGCCTCTTTGCACCACGCTGGCCAACCTTGGTGCTAGGGACCCTGCCTTCCTCCCTTCCTTCACTTGGAGCAGGTGTCCAAGTTTGGGCTCATGAGGATGGGTGGACAGAGCACTGAGCACCCCCACCTCTATTTCAATGTGACTGGCTTGTCATGTGGGCCTCCCACCTAGAGCCCCCAGGTGGCGCAGGTCACCCCTTCCTCATGGAGGAGTCATCTCACCCACTCTTGGGCCCAAGACTGAGCGGCACCGAGCACTGGTCATCCTGGCTGAGGTGTCCCAGGGCAGCAAGGCACGTGGTTACAGGCAGCGGGTCCAGGACTAGCTGGAGAAGAAAACAGGGAGGTGACACAGGCTGGCCTCAGGGCACAGACAGGGAGATACCTAGTGTCTCAGGATGCCTGATCTGCTTGGGCAGGGAAACAACCCCATAAACAAGTGTCAGGAATCAGGGGAGTGGCCGGGAGCTGAGCAGATGAACCCAGCCTCTCTTATCACAGGTTGGGCCCTGGGGACCCACCACTGTGGCAGCTCCAATTAGCAGATCTCTCACAAACAGCAAGTCCCGCCAGGCGGCAGGGGAGAGGTGCCCCCATGCTCGTGGCCCCAGCTTTCTTTAGGCCTTAGACCTTGGACACCAGTTCCATTACTGAGACCTAGGTCTGGGAGACAGAAGGGGCGCCCAGTCAGTGCTGCTGGACCATTGTGGCTTCCCTGGGCACAGCACATTCAGTATGATGGCTTTTGGGACTGTCTGGCTCTGGATCCTATGTGACCCTGGAGAAGACAAGGAGGTTACCACACCATGCAGGAAGCAAATACAGAGGCTCGGAGGGGTTCAACTGCCCAGCTGGGGCTGCCCAAGGCCTGACACTGCATCTTGGAGTAGTGTGGCCTGGCTGGTGGCCCCACCCCTGCACCTACCCCTCACCTGAATGGGAACATGGTCTGTGGTAGGGAAGGTGGTGTCCAGGCCTGCTCCTGGTTAGGCAGCAGGAGTAGGAAGTTGTACACATGGTGCTCCAGACACCAGCAATCCCAGCTGCTTGGGCACTCAGTCAATGCAGCTGAGTTTCAGGATGCAGGGTAGTGGTGCCGGGGTCCCCATTTACCTCCATGCCTGGTCCAGAGGGTGGCACTTGACTACCCTTGGCCAGGTGGGAGGCCGACTTCCCCAGTGACACCTGCTAGACTAGCCTGCAGAAGGGGCCTGGGCTGTGCCAGGTGATGTCTTTGTCAGCCCGTGGGGCCCCAGGCACAGCGGACACCTGCTCCCCAGCCCCCGGGGAGCAGGAGGCTGAGCTCAGAATTGGCAGGCATCCAGCACACACCCTCCCCATGGGGGCCAGTATTTGTGTGTGTGGTACTGGGTTTGAACTTAGGGCTTTGCACTTGCCAGGCATGTGCTCCACCAATGAGGGGTCTTAGGGGATCCCTTAAGAGGGAGTTGGGAGTGAGGCTGTGTTTGCTATGTGTGCTGGTGTCTGTTCGCACACAGGGCATATATGTGTGCCCTGGAGCTCACACACGTTTTGTTGTCAGGCACACGTAGACCAATATGGTGGCTAGGCATGACCATTCTGTGCATGCTGGAGCACAGAGCTGGGAAGGCATGTGACATATGTGTAGGCTGTGGAGCAGAATGGACATGCAGGGACACGTGCCCTGGAGACATGTCCCAGCCATGATGACTGCAGCATTGTCTTCAGCCTGAGGAGCTCCACCAAGCAGATGTCCAAGAGGGAGCTGGACAGGAGAAGAGGCTGCAGGAGGGACTTCCCAACCCACCTGCTGGACAGTGCCTGGAGAAGTTTCTCCTGGGTTGTAGTGGCAGGAGCGCTGGGTGTCCCAGGCTGAGCCCTGACTGTGGCCTCGCCCACACACCTGCAGCTCTCTCACCTTGACTGGAGCCTGGTGCCTGGTTGGCAGGGCCAGGAGGCTTCTAGGTCCTTGAGCCCCTGCCATGTAGATTCAGCCAATGCACAACCACCACCTGCACCCCAGGGTCTCAAAGTCCAGCACGTCGGCTCTAAGGGCAAGCTGAGCTGGGCTCCACACAGGGCCAACTGAGCAACAGCAGATGATGCCTCTTCAGCTTCCTGGCAGGCCCATTTAGAGCCCAGGATCACTGTCACATGTAAGGTGACCGCCCCACGGGGGTGGAGCTCAGGTGGCCTGGCTTGTTCAGAGTCCTGTTCAGCTCAGCCAGCACAGCTGGACACAGCCACCCTACAGCTGTACTTGGCAGTGGTAAGGAGCAGTGAGGCCTACCAGCCTCCAGTCTAGAAGGGTCTAGGTTTGGGGGAAGGTCCCAGGCAGAGATGGCAGGCCTACCCTGAACCCCAGTGCTGGCCCCTGAGGCCGTGACCAGCCTGTTAACGAGCTTCAGAACTTACCTTAGAGCAAGTTTTGGCTAAGTAAGGTCTTAAGGTGGCTCTGGATACTGGGGGGGGGGTGTCTGTGTGTGGAGGGGGTGGGAGTTCATGTGGTGAGGGTCTCCACCCTCCCTGGGGCAGACAGAGCTTGTCTACACATGGCCTGAGGAACAGGGCCCCGTGGGCCTGGGGCAGCCGGAATCTTGGTTTTTCAGATGAGGAAACAGAGGCCCAGAGAAGCTGAGTTGTCCAGGCAGCAATGCTGCCCACATTGCTTGGTCACTACCTGGAGAGCAAGTTTCAGGATGTCTTAGGACAGTCCTGCCTGAGGTCTGGCAGGGACTCCCAAGGGCCACCAGGGTGTGAGGTGGCCCAGCCTGTGGGTCCAGCCCTGCGTTTGCTTTACTTACAGCAAACTGAGGGCACCTTAGAGTTCAGGTACAGGGAAATGGGCTGGCACTCAGCAGTGCCCCCGTGTGGTATCAGCAGGCACGAGAGCAAGCCAGGTTGGCATGAGCCCTGGAGGCTGGGCCTTGGGGTAGGGTGGGAGTGGAGGATCTCAGTGCCTGAGCCTGCAGGGACAGGGCCAGGGGCCTATAGAGAGGGGGCCCACGAGGCCCAAATCACGCTGCCAAGGAAGCAGGAAATGAGCCAGACCATCTCAGGTGGGAATGCTTAGAAACGGGGAGTGGAGTGGAGCACACGTGGTGAGTGGTGTGGGTAGTAGGTTTGGTGAGGGGGGAGCATGCCCTGAGGTCTGGGCTTGTCCTCCTCTGATCCACTCCACCTTCCCTTTACAGATAAGGAAGATGAGCCATGAGAAGCAGCAGTGAATGACCCAGGACCCTGTTATTCTCTCCTTACCTGTAGGGTCTTGGGGAGACACAGTGGGCAGCTAGCTTCTGAGGTCCGGCCCAGGGTTGGGGTGGGGCCATCCAAGTAGCCACACCTTTGGGGGACAAACTGAGCAGGTGCCAGGACACTGGGAGGTATGACCTCAGATGGGTAGTTGGCTTGAGTGGTAAAGGCTGTTGCTCTTCCCACAATCCCTGGGGCACTGGGACCCAGGCTGCAGGCTGATGAGGGTCAGTGGTTCTACCAGGGACCCTGGGCTCAGCCAGCTGTATGCCACTGCTTTTGGCTGAGAGGGCTAAGGTCCTCTGGAGACCCCATAACTCAGCTTCTGCCTTCCTAAATTGGCTTCCATGGCCCCCAAGCTGGCATTGCAAGGTGTTCACTGCCTGTGGGGAAGGGACAAGTCATCAGCTACGGTCTTCCGGTCTGTTGTGGGCCCTGCTGGGCAGTATCAAGGCAGAGTTCCACCAGGTGCAGGGAGGAGGCCTAGGAAGGGTCTGGAGCATCCCAGGACCCCCACATTACATACACTCATGGCCACTCTTGGGATTGGTCAGTGAGTATTTATTTGTAATCCTAGACCCCAGATGCAGCCAGGGTGGAATGGGTGTGTTGTGGGGGACAGAGGAAGTGAGGTCTAGGGCTCCTGGATTGGGCCCTGATAGCAGAGACAGATACCTCATGGCTGTGTGGTAGTCAGGCAGGTTGTGATGTGGCAGGAGAGCTGTAGCTGGGAGCCCACACAGCAGAAGCAGCACCTACATCAGGCTTGGAGGGATGGGTGTGCATAGAGGGCGCCTCTATCAGCGATCCCCACACATTTCCCCATGCCCATGGAGGCAGAAGGGGGAGGGGGAGAGCCTGGGCAGAGTCCAGCAAAGGCAAAGGCACAAGGCAGGCAGGGGACAGGCAGAGGGCTGCAGAATTAGATGGTCTGAGTGGAGCAAAGCACTTCAGAATACAGGAACCAAATGGGCCTGGGGTCAAGGCTAGAATGGCCCTTCCTGGTCCCTCTGTAGGGGCCCAGCCTGGGGGCAAAGTCTGCCCAGGTCCTGGCTCTGCCCCTGCCAGCTGGGTGGCTGCAGGTAAGTCTATAAGCTGGCCCTGGGGTGATGTTTTGGAGGCAGAAAGCTGTTCCAAGAGGAAGAGACTTGGCTTCCTCTGGAGGAACTCTGGAAGAAGGCTTCCCACTGAGCGTCTCTCTTGCAGCTTGAGTACACCATCCTTCAGCAATCAAGGCTGCTTGGTGCCCCTGCTGGCCTCGCCACTGAGTCCAGCCCTGCTCCTGCCCCAGCTCAATGGCTCTCAGTTTTGTGGCTCCAGCGTCCACTCTGACAGCCATTGCAGGCACGAGGCTCGCTGTGCCTCAGTCTCAGGAGGGGGCCGGCCTGGCCCAGGCAGGGGTGCAGAGGGGCTGCAGGGCTTGGGTTCCCCATCCATGGGGTCAGGGTCGGGGGCAGCCTGTAGGGCTTGAACAAGCTGGTCAAGTGGCTGCACCAGGGTGTGGGGACGCCAGCAGGCATCGAGGGTGGGCAGGAAGGGGTCTGGTGTGCAGGCTTCCACACACTCGGCCTGAGTGGGGATGCGCAGGTAGAAGGCGTGCAGCATCATGCGGAAGGGCTGGTCCTCCCCTCCCACAGCCTGGCCGTAAGTCAGGTCGCCCACAACGGGATGGCCAAGAGCGCTGCAGTGCACACGCAGCTGGTGAGTCCGGCCTGCAGGGTTGGGGGGTTGGGGGGTCAGGCTGGGATGGGTCTGTTCCATGCTTCCATGCCTATACCCCCAACTTGCTTACATCATATCCAGCAAATTCTCTTGCTGTGGCCTTGGGACCTCACAGCAGCCCCTTGGGACAAAGAGACTCTCCCTGTCCCTTGCCACAGATGAGAGTCAGGGCCCAGGACAAGAGACTGTTCTGGGGCTGCTGCTGGTGAGGGCAGAGCTAGGTGGACACCAGAAAGACCCTCCAGGATGCAGACGGGAGCCAGCAAAGACTTAGCTGTTGGTTCTACCCAGATGCTCAGGGTGATCCCAGGAAGGCTGCACTACCTCTACCTCAGGATCCTTTCCTGTGTCAGTGGACCTCTGCCCCATCCTGGCTGGACACACCTGTGAGTGGCTTCAGCAGCACTTTGGATACGGGGTCACCAGCATACAGCCCATGTTCCAGGACTACCAGCTCTGTGAGACTTGGCTTTGGGTTCTCACAACCTGGATGCAAAGGCAGATGTGGTGGTCAGCTGGGCTGGCCCTCAATCTACTCCTCCCTGGACTGGGCCTGTTCATGCAGGGTCCCTGCTGGAGGTAGGCCCACGGCCCCTATCCCCAACCACCTTACCCTGTGTGCCCTCGATGCACATGGTGTGGGTCCGGCCTTCTGTACTGTTTCTGCCAATGGCATAGCTGATGGTCACCTGGCTCTCCTGGACATGGCCCCGAACCTGCCAGGTAGGAAGCATCACAAGCAGCTCATAGGACCGAAGTCTGCCTGATATCCAGATGGCCACATGGGTTCTTGGGGACAGCTTGGGTGTGAGGAGCCTGATGAAGTGGGCTGGGAGTCTTGAGTCCCCATCCTCCACCCTAGGGACAAGCCAGGCCTTACCAGTGCCAGGTAGGCTTTGGTAACGCGCCGCTCCTTGAAACATCTGTATGCACTGCCTGCAGCTGCCTTATTCAGGGCCACGCACAGCGCCCCACTCGTGGAGAAGTCTAGCTGGTGGCAGAACCTGGGGAAGGGCAGAGGAGCAGTGGTGGCTGGACCCCGATGTATTCTGGCTAGCACATTCTGGGCAAAGTCCACCATCTGAGCCACTTCCCTTGGATGGACACTGCGGTGGGGCTACCTATGTTGGCTGTGTACCTGAACCCGTAGCAGGTGTCAGGGTCAGCCAGTTCTGGGAAGCGGTGCCGGAGCTGCTTCTGTAGGGTCAGGGTTTCGCGCCATGTCTTGCTATCGATGCGCAGGTCCCAGTGCTTGTTCACCACCAGGAAGTCACTGCTCTGGTACACGATGGACAGGTTCTCCATGGTGCCGGGCTCCATGGTGGGGCCTGCCACACAGCGGGGAGTGAGACCTCGAGCATGGGGGGTGCCTGGCTCTCCTGGGCTCCTGGTCTGCAGCCACTACCCCCTGCCCCATGTGCAGACCTACTGTTTGCCTGCACCCGATGGAGCCCTTATTGCCTTCCACAGGGGGCCAGGCTCGAGGCACCGGATGTGGGTAGGGGTCCGGCCAAGATCAGGAGAGGCTGCCTTGCCCTAGGCTGAATGCTGGGGTTCTCCACGTCCCAGACCTGGGAGAAACAGCCTGGTTGTCCAGCTCGCCCCCTCATGCCCCCGCCCCGCCACTTCCCCGCCAGGGTATGGACCTTTCCCTGAGTAGACAAGGGGCGAGAACAGAGACTCCGACTTCATGCCCCGCCCACTTCAGGACCAACCTGCAGCCCGACCCGCGGTCCAGGCTGTGCTGTTCCGGCCCCTATATTACTGCCCTACCCTAGCTCCAGCCCCGCGTACTCGCGCCGGGATACCCAATACCAGGGAGCTAGGCCCTGCCTGCGCGAGCAGCCCCGCCTCCACCCCGCCCACGGCCCGCCCCGCTCCTAACAGACGGCTACACCAACCAATAGTGAACGCTTTAAGTTCGGGACTCCGAGCCTTGCTCCCGGCAAGCCTGTGCGCGCAGCCCCAATTGACCAATGATGAGCGCCGCTGAGCACGCCGGTCGCTGATTGGCGGCGCCAGGACGCTCTGGGGGGCGGTGCGCGGCGGCGGTGGCTGCGCGGGAGGTTCGGAGCGCGCGGCTGGGCTGCGGGAGCAGGGCGGTGATGGAGGACTACGAGGAGCAGCTGCACGGGGTCGAGGATGACTTCCACAGCCAGTTCGCCGCCGAGCTCGAGGTGCTGGCCGAGCTGGAAGGTGGGCGTGGGTACTCGGAGCGCGGCGGGGTGGTGGCCCACCAGGCAGTCAGAGAGGGCTTCGCGGAGGTGGGCAGCGGCCGTGCCCAGCGCAGAGGGAGGATGCACCGAAGACGGAGGTCGGTTCCTGTCCTGGGCGGCTGCTGTAAACCTCTCTATCAGCAGGGACGCCGCCCCTGGAGCCCTCCAGGGACCCGCTGCCCTCCGCGGGCCGGCCCGGGCGGACGTTCGAGGAAGCCATCGCTGGGGGGGACGCTGCCATCCGCCGCTGTCTCGCTGCGTCTCCAGGGAACTCCAGGCGCAGTGCCAGGAAGCGGCAGGTGGATGCGGATGTCTGGAGAGTGGAACCTCTGCACCCCAGTATGTCTCTGGGCGGTCCCAGGGCACCCAGGGTGGGGGTGGGGGCTGGGGATGGCCTTCTCTTCCCTGCGTGTCTCTGCAGCCCCGAAGGTCAAACGGCCTAGGCTGGAGGTGGTGAAGAGGCTGAATTTTGGCCCAGACGCGGAGGAGCTCCAGTTTCCTGACTCTCCACCTGAAGGCATAACCCCCCCACCAAGTCCTGAGGTCCCCCCCGAGCTGTGGAATACTGGGTGTGTGGCTTGTGGCACTGGCTCCCTCCCCCCTAGCTCAAGAGAGACTTGGAAGGATGGTGTTCACTGGATAAGGCCCTGGGAGTGGAGACCTGTGGGATCGGGTGGCTGAGATTGATGACAGGAGGCACTCATTCCTCAGACTGAGTCCTGGACCCTTCCTAGGCCCCCAGATGCTGGTGGTGATCCGGGTCTCACACACGCCTCACAAGGTGCCCGCAATCCCGTCCTGAAGCGGCCTCCTGTCTTGGAGGATTATATCAATGTGACATCCACTAGTGGTGACCGGGCCTTTCTGGTGCTGCGTCCTGACCCCACGGCACCGGGGTGCAGGTGGGTGCTGTGTGGCCACAGACAGAGCTGGTGATGGCCTTGTAAGATGCGTGCTGCCCAGGAATGGGTTCCCAGTGTACCTCATAGCAGACTGGGACATAAGGTCATACCTGTCTGATTTGCTGGCAGTGGCCATGTTCACGCAGCCCAGGGTTGGAGAGAGCAAAGCTGCTTAGAGGACACAGCCTTCTGGCCCCACCCTGTATCCATGCTGTGTGCATGACCTGGGGAAAGGGCCCTTCTACCCCTCCCCCCACTTTTGGTGGCACTGGGATTTGAACTCAGGGCTTAATCCTTGCTAGGCAGGTGCTCTACCATCTGAGTCATGCTCCCAGTCCCTTCCTCCCCCTCTTAAACTTGTTGTCTTTTGGACCCAATCTATTGGGGTATGTTGTTCCTGGTCAGACAGAGCCTCACCTTTCTACCTTGGCCAGATTCTGTAGGGGAGGGCATTGTGGATGGCCCCATGATCTGGGAGGGGGTCTAGAGGTGACAGCTACCTTCCCCTCTACCCAGAGCCCTCTCTTTGATGTCCAGTGGCGAGGCTGGGGCCAGCTGAACCTCCTGGGTATGTCCTTCACCTCCCTGAAGGAACAAGTTGACAGTGAGGTAGGGTCTGCAGAGTTTACTGGGAGAGTGCTGGGGGTGACTGGCTGCTGGAGCCGTGCTGACCCCAATCTGTTCTGTTTGCATAGAGACGACAGCAACTGCTTGAGGAGGCCCAGAGACTCTCAGACACACTGCGCAGGTGACTCATGGGCCCTTCTGCCCCTGGGACCTGTACTGGTTCATGGACTGACCCTGTGAAGGGTCATGGTCAGGATGCATTGTCTCAGGACACAATACTCTCCAGCTTTAGGTCTGAAGAGGAGGAGGCCCAGTCTGCAGGGGCCCCTGAAGAGGAGCTAGCTCATGGCCGAGACAACCCCCAGCACTGCCTGTGGGTGGATGAGTTTGCACCCCAGCACTACACAGAGCTGCTCAGTGATGATGTGAGACCTTTTCTCACTCAGATGTGACCGGCTCCCCTGTTAGCAAGAGGAAACCTAGGACCCAGCTGTTCTTTGTATTGCCAGCCTACTGGAGTGAAGTGGGGACTGTAGTCTGCCCCATTAAATTGTAAATGGGGAAGCTGAGTTGGCATAGGGCTAGCTTGCTGCTGGGTACCTGTACCTTTCTCACCCTCATAGCAACTGGTGTTGGGGTACCCCAGGGAAGGAAGTGAGGGGAGGTGCAGAGGCTGGGGCCAGGGATGCAGGCTTCATGTGAGTCCCACTTTGTTGTCCACTGGCAGGTGACTGAGGCCTGGGCCTTGCTCTTGAGCCTTGGTGTCCCTGTCTGTTGTGAGACTTGTGGCTGCAGGATGATGTGAGGGGTAGTGGGGATCCTACCCTTATGCCCTACCTCCCTTCCTGCAGTTCACCAATCGCTGCCTCCTCAAATGGCTGAAACTCTGGGACCTGGTGGTGTTTGGCCAGGAGAAGCCCACCCGGAAGCCCAGGCCCAGTGTGGAGCCTGCCCGGATTGGGAAGGAGGCTACTGCTCCTGGCAAGTGGAAAAGCCATGAGCAGGTGCTGGAGGAGATGCTGGAAGCTGAGTTAGATCCAAATCGGCGGCCCCGGCAAAAGGTGAGTCCCACCCAGCCCTGTGTGGACACCTCTGAGCCTGAGGTTTGGCTCTGTGGGCAGCTCATGCTATTGCAGCCTCTGTGGTCCACGAGGCGCCTCTAACACTTCTAGAGGCGGGCATGATGATGTCAGGGCTAACGGGAGATGCTGATGTGAGTTTGAACTTGAACCCATTCTGTCTGGATAAAGCAAACACTACTTGGAGGGCTCTGCCTCATCAGCATGATATAGTGAACCGTGGGTGGTTTCTGGGGCCAGTCAGACGGATCCTGCTGGGGCTCTGTCAGGTCCTCACCTGACTTGCTTCTTGCAGGGTTCTCCTTGTTCTGAGCACACTGCGTGGTTCTCATTTGAGGGGCGGGTGGGAGAGGAAATAGCTCTCAGCACTACCTAGCCTTGTGGGGCAGTTCCAGCCTCTGGCTGTCTTGCAAGTGCTCCCTGGAGACCTGGGCTGTGCAGCACATCTTCCATCTTGGCTGCAGGTGGCGCTGCTGTGTGGGCCCCCAGGGCTGGGCAAGACCACACTGGCACATGTGGTTGCACGGCATGCTGGTTACTGTGTGGTGGAGATGAATGCCAGGTGCGTGGCTCGTTTTTGGGTTTCCTGTCTTGTTACGCCTTGGCTTCTGCCCCAAGACTTTGGTGCGGTTGTTCCTACCTGGCAGGTGGGCCTGGGGTCTTGGGTACTTAAGCTAGCGCAATGCTTCCTTCCCTGGGGCTTGCTAGGGTTGGTGGCAGCCATGTCCAGTGGGAGCCTCGCAGTGTAGGCATGGCTCTGACCTCAAGGTCATCCTGCTGAGCTACTGGCTACCACATGGGCTGAAGCCACAGCTGTCCAATAGTCCCTCTCCTGGCCTCCCCATTCCAGTGATGACCGCAGTCCTGAGGCCTTCCGAACACACATTGAGGCAGCCACCCAGATGGAGTCGGTGCTGGGCGCTGGTGGAAGGCCCAACTGCCTGGTCATCGATGAGATTGATGGGGCTCCTACGGTGGGCCTCCTTGCTGCCCCAGGTGATGGGGAGGTAAGGGGTGGGAGACACGGGGGTCTCTGCTCACCATGCCGCTCTGCACCCCTAAGGCTGCCATCAACGTTCTCCTGGGCATCCTGAACCGCAGGGCTCCACAGGAGGCAGAGTCAGGGGCCCCATCTGTACCTGCAGGTGGGGGCCGGCGGCGCCAGGCGGAAGGAGGACTCCTGACAAGGCCCGTTATCTGCATCTGTAATGACCAGTGAGTGGGGGCGTGGGACTGTGCCTCTTGGGCAGAAGGGTTGCCTGGCCTGGCCTCCTGTGCCTGCCCATGGCATGGTCACTGCCTTATGTCCCTGCAGGTTTGCACCATCCCTGCGACAGCTGAAGCAGCAGGCCTTCCTGCTCCATGTGCCTCCAACTCTTCCCTCCAGGCTGGTGCAGCGGCTCCAGGAGGTCAGCAGAGCAGGACGAGTGGCCAGGGGCTGTGTAAACCAGTTTGGGTTGGGAGAATGGGGCTCTGTGCTGGTCTCTCTTCCCCACTGTCCCCTCCAACATTGAGCCCTCTGGTTATCTACAGCTGACCTTGATCCTCTCAGCTTGTGGTGGACAGTCAGGTGAAGATGGGGCTGGTCATAGGGACCTGCTTGGCACTGGTGGGATTGTTCACCTGTTTCTAGGGAGCAGGGCTGTGGTCTTAGGGTGGGCTCTGTGGATGTGTCGGACTGGCCGTGTGCCCCTTAGTAGTGTGTGAGCACTATGGCATTGTTCTCTCCTTAGATCTCCCTTCGGCAGGGCATGCGGTCCGACCCGGGAGCACTGGCTGCCCTCTGTGAGAAGACTGACAATGACATCCGCGCCTGCATCAACACTCTGCAGGTGGGCAGGTGGCCTGGGTGAGGTGAGGTGGGATGGGGGCTGCCTCTCACCCCACTGCTCTGTGTCCAGTTCTTATATGGGAGGGGCCGGCGGGAGCTGAGTGTGCGTGATGTGCAGACCACCCGTGTTGGCCTCAAGGACCAGCGCAAGGGGCTCTTCTCTGTGTGGCAGGAGGTCTTCCAGCTGCCCCGGGCCCAGAGGTAGGTGATGTGGGCAGGCCAGCCTTGGCCCAGCTCAGATGGCAATGAGCCCAGGACACCCAACCTCGTGAATAGGCCAACACCACCTTGACTGACAGAATGAATACCCATGGGGCCTGAGTCTACCTGGCCCACCCTCAAGGATCTGCAGTGGCCTCCACTTGAAACTCCTCTGCATCCACATCCTTCAGAGGCTGTCAGGACTGCACACTGGTGGGGAGAGATCCCCAGGATGTTGCTGGAGCTCCATTGCAGCTCTGCCTGCCTCAAAGCTGTGTGTGACCCTGAGCAGGGCCACAAGTCCTCAGGTGTCTGGGAGCAGTCATGTATCTGTCTGGATCTGGGTTTGGGGCCCAGGGCGTCAGTACCCCAAAGACCGAGGGGAGGTGCTCAGAGCCTCCTGAATCTTGGGATGCTGTGTTCCTGGCTGGCGCCTGAGGGTGACTTCCCTGAGCCATCAGGGTCAGTCCTGAGTGGGGTTTTCCTCCCAGGGCCTGGGACTCCGCTTGAAGAAGTTTCCCAGGTCGCCAGCCTCCCCGTACCTCTAGGGTGACACAAGCCCAAAGCCCAGGCCAGTGAGGACGTTGCCTGGAAACCTGAAGGGGGCATATGGGGTGGGTTATGAGCCTGCAGGTAGATGGGTGGAGGTGCCCTGCTTTTAACTGGATTCTTCCCCAGCCTACTGTCTACTCACAGGCGACTCGTGGGCCAGGACCTGAACCTGCCAGCCCACGCACTCCTGCTCGATGATGGGGACATGGGTTCCCTGACCCTGGCCTCCCAGCGCTTCTACCACATCCTGCATGTCACCACCTCAGCAGGCGAGCATGAGAAGGTGGTCCAGGTATCTGCTCTCTACTGCAAACCCTTCCTGCCCTTGGCCTCCCAAGCTGAAGGGAGAGGATGGTGAGCGGGAGGTACTCTGCAGTGAGGAGTAGAAATGGGCAATGGAGAGGCCTCTGAGGGGTGGTGCCACCAGGAGGAATCCTCAGGAGCTGGGAGGGACAAGGATGGGGAGGCAGGAAGCCTGAGTATCTGACAATGGGTCACTCTGGCTGCTGGTTGGGAACAGAGGGGTAGGGGTTTTAGGAGCCTCTGTAGTCCAGTCCCTGGAATGTGGGGGATTCAGGAGCCAGGAGGGGCTGGATTCTGGATGTAGGGTACACACTGGATAGAGAGCAGGTGGGTGAGGTTTTGGAGGGCCTGCCTAAGCCACCTCACAACTAAGCAGCTTTGGATTAGTAGCTGGGAATCCTCAGCCAATCCGGAAATCCGCAGTGTGACACAGCTGGTGGGGACAGGGTGACTCTATACCCTGGGTTATGGTGAACTGGATATCCTTTATTGCTCCCTGAGGGCGGGACTGGGGGGGGGCTCTTCATTAAATGAGAATGGGCAGCTCTAGGTGGACCCCTCAGCCTGTTACTATTCCCTATCCCTGGACTTTGCAGGAAAAGAGGTGAAGAGGGTCCTGTTGGTGGTGCTTGTGCTATGGGTGGGCAGTGCCAAAGGCTGCAGGGACTCAAGACCTTATTGCCTGCAGGGCCTGTTTGACAACTTCCTGCGTCTGCGGCTTCGGGACTCCAGCCTGGGCACCGTGTGTTCAGCCCTTGACTGGCTGGCCTTCGACGACCTGGTGGAGCAGGCTGCCCACCATGGCCAGAGCTTCCAGCTTCTGCGCTACCTGCCTTTCCTGCCTGCGGCCTTCCATGTACTCTTTGCCTCCAGCCATGTGCCACGTATTACCTTCCCCAGCAGCCAGCAGGAGGTGCGCCTGTGCCTGTCTGAGCCCTGGTCTGGCCCTGGGAAGTTCTTTCCACCTATTTCTGGCTCACTATCTGCCCTAGGCCCAGAACCGGATGAGCCAGACCAGGAACCTGATCCAGACGCTGGTGTCAGGCATTGCACCGGCCACCCGCAGCCGGGCCACACCCCAGGCCCTTGTCTTGGACACCCTCTGCCTGCTCCTGGATGTCCTGGCCCCCAGGTTGCGCCCTGTGAGTGCCAGGCACAGCGGACAGGGCAGGGCTTCTGGCCAGGTGGCCCTGGTCTTACTCAGCCTCCTTGCCTTTGCTCACCTGCCTGCAGGTGAGCACACAGCTGTACAGTGCCCGCGAGAAGCAGCAACTGTCCAGTCTTGTGGGTACCATGTTGGCTTACAGCCTCACCTATCGCCAAGAGCGCACACCAGATGGGCAGTACCTCTACAGGCTGGAGCCGTGAGTGCCCCAAGCACCCAGGGCAAGGGAGGCCTGGGGGGGGGGCTGTACTGTGGGTGCCAAAGCCAGCATGGTCTTGGCAAGGTGTCCAGGGGTGGTCAGTTCCAACTTAGCTCTCAGCCAGGTATGACTGATGAGGGGGCATCCACACCCCAGGTAACTCAGAGCTGTCCAACCTCAGCTGGTTGGCCCCATGCATAACTAAAACTCCCCCAGCTCCAAGAGGCATAGCAGCAGTGGACCTGGTGTCCTGCTGCCCCAGTGAGGTCCTGCATCCAGAATCTCAAATCCTGGTCTTGCCTATTGTATTGTTCTCTCCCTGCAGCCCTGGGCAGTCTCCCTTGTCACTCACCTTATAGTTGGGGTACTGAGGCTCAGGGGCTTTAGTCCTCATCTGCATGGGGTTGGGGTGTGGTAGTCCCTGGACCTTATACCCCAGCTCTCGAGTTAGGGTGATGGGGCTGCTACATCAGGCAGATCTCTGCCCTGGCCCTGCTGACCCATGCTCTGGTGACCTTTGGCCACGCGAGCAGGAATGTGGAGGAGGTCTGCCGCTTCCCTGAGCTGCCTGCTCGCAAGCCCCTCACCTACCAGGCCAAGCAGCTCATTGCTCGGGAGATCGAGGTGGAGAAGATGCGCCGGGCAGAGGCTGTGGCCCGGGCTGGAGTTGGCCCCCAGGTGAGCCCGCCTTAGGGCTTGGGGCAGAGTGGGGCCTGGGTGGGTGGGGCTCTGGAATGGACATCCTCCGCGGTCTGGCTCCGCTAGACCAGCCCTCACCACACTTCCTGCAGGTGGACCAGGGCCCTCCGGGGTCTGGAAATCTGCCGGAGGGTGGTGGGGATAAAGGGGTGAGACGGCCTGCCCCACGCAACCACGAGCAGCGGCTGGAACACATCATGAAGAAAGCAGCTCTGGAGGAGGAGGTACAGGGCTGGGCTGAAGTGGCCGTGGGAATGGGGCAGAGTGGGTGACTGGGCATCATGGAACAGGGTGGGCCAGCTGTTAGTCCTAAGGACCACTTCCTGGTCTAGCTGGAGCCAGTGGGTGGTGGGTTGGGAAAGGTCTCCTTAGCCCTGGCCTTGCACAGAGGTGCTCAGGCTTCTTCTCCCTGGAAGTGTCCCTGGGTCCCCACCCCACTCATCCCCTGCCAGCCTGATGGCCCTTCTTTCCCCACCAGCCTGAGAAGGACTTCTTTGGGCGTGTGGTCGTCAGGAGAGCGGTAGCCCCAAGCACAGGTGTGTGGACGGTGGAGTTGCACACTGAACGTGGGGTGTGGGACATGGCAGGCTGGGGTTGGCTGAGGTGCAACTGTGTGGTCCCTGCAGAGGCCAAGGCCCTGGAAAAGGATGCTGCTGAGTGGCGCATGGGCACAGCGGTGGGCAGGAGTGAGGTGTGGTTCCGCTTCAACGAGGGCGTCTCGAATGCTGTGCGGCGCAGCCTGTACGTCAGGGACCTGCTGTAGCCCCGCTGCCCCCAGAATGTGGGTCACTGTCCCATAGGGAGTGTACAAAGGCACAGACCTGGAGAAGTCTTTATAAAGTCACCGCTTACACAGTGCAAGACGACTCACAGGATGGTGCACTTGGCCTTCTCCACCCAGGGGTTGTTCTTCATCAGGTCGGGGTTCAGGAAGGGGTCCTTGGGGACCCCTTCCTCGATCCACTTGAGGAGCCTGCAGGTTGGAGCTGGGTGAGTGCTGGCCCCTCCCACAGCACCTGCCTCCTCTGCTCATGGGCCTGGCTCACGCAAATGAGCAGCGTGGGGCAGGCAAATGAGATGCCGAGGGTGGAAGGGCACTCACTCGGGTATGGTCTTGGAGGACATCTCCCTCTTGAAGGCCAGCTGGTACTTGAGGCTCTCCACCTCCTTCTTCATCTGGGGCACGTCCCACTCCTCCATGGCGTCAGGGGCTTCGCTAGTAGCCAGCCTGGGGCTGGAGGGCAGGGAAGGAAGCAACAGAAGCTGGGGCTGACCCTCTGCAGTCACTGTCCCCTCTTCCAGAGCCTCCCAGGACAAAGGGAAGGAGGAAGAGGGTTCCACCTGCTGCCTGGGGACAACCTCTGGGGCCACACCTCCTTTCAGCCCTTCTCAAGGTCCACAGAGGTGGTGCCAGAGTGCAGGACCCAGAGACCATCCCATAAGGTCTGACTAATGAGGCCCCATGTGTTTCCTCCCCCCCAAAGGGGCTAATTAACTGCAGAGCAAACTTTCTGCCCTCACAAGGCCCAGTCCGTTAACCTCCCTGTCTCTGGAGGTAGTAGGGCAGCTTAGCGTGCCTGTACCAGTCCCCACCCTTCTTTGGGGGTCGCTTCTTGGTCAGACTATCCTGTGACATTGGTGGGCAGGGGCCCCAGGAGGCTCACCCCTCCAGCCTTCTTTTGCTCAGGCAGAGGCACCCTGAGGCCCTGGGAGGATTTACCTGTGATTTGCATCTCTGGCAGGATGGGGGGGGTGCCCTGAGGGTCCGGGGACACTAGAATGGCACGGGGCCAGTGTTTGACAACAGAACAGCTTGTGAGCTTTTGCTAGCCACTTCTTAGTGACAATGGGTCTCACCCTTTGTCCCTCCTATCCCCAGGCCACTCAAGGGGGCCAGCCAGCCCGTTCCCCATTCCCTGGCATCCATTGGGAGAGGTCTAGCACTGTTTTGGGGGCCTATTTTAGGCCAGGCCTGGCACTCCAAGGCACAGCCCCCATCCCAGGATGCTATGTCGGGACCCAGCCAGGGGTCCCAAGACTTGGCCATGGTCAGTGCACACCCAGACTGGGAGGGCCAGCCAGGAGCAGGAATGGGAGCCAGAATGGGCCGGCATCAGGCACTGCATACAGGATGCCTCCCAGAGACCCCGAGTTCCAGCGCCCCACCCTGGCCGGGCTCTTGAACCGCGGCCCCGCACGCGGACAGCCACGTGGGCGCAGGATCAGCTCCGGACCTCCGCGCGGGGTCCGCCCGGGCTGGGGACATTGCCGCCGTGGGTCCTACCTGTGCCGCTGCTATCGCGGGAGCCCGGCCGCCGCCCCGCCGCCCCCGGCCAGGCGCACGGCGGCGCACACGGGCACTGCGGGCGGCGCGCACGGCGCAGGACAGACGGGGCCGCGCCGCACGGCGCCCGCTCCCGCGCCTCCGGGGTTGCTCTGCCGGCCGCCCCGCATGGGGAGTTAGGGTCGGCCTGGGGTCACTGATCTGGTCAAGTTCGAGAGTTCTGGGACCCCTGTTTCCCCCAGGACGAGGGACTGGTTCGTTGGACTTACTTTGGAAGGTGACGCGAGAGGCAAGTGATGACAGGGGCGAGAGATGTGCGGAGTGAGCCTGGGCTGGCGAAGCGAGGCCGGCCGAGCCCTGCCAGGTGCCCCGCCCACTCCTGCCACCTGGGACTGGCACCGCCTCCGCAGGGCTGGGCTGACCCCAAGAGCTCCCCCCTGGGCAGCGCTGCCCGCTTCTGAGGGTCTCCCCTGGGGAGCTGGACGGGCAATGGGGACTGTAGACTGGTTCATGCTCTCCCTTTGGGGCTAGTCCTGGGCTGGGAGGTCTTCAGCCCCGGTTGGGTGGATTCTGGGCTGCTTTGGGGTTAGTACTGGAGGTAAGTCGTACTTCATCCAGCCCAAGACACCTCTCTGGTCAGGACCCTTCCACCCTTAAATACCGCAATACCTTCACTACATCCCAGCTCAGGCAGCTGGGAGGAGTGGAGAAGGGGCCCTGGACCCTTTGCCCCACTGTGGCCTCTGCAGTCAACTGAGTACAGGTGACCCTCACCAGTGTACACTAATTAAGCATCATGCCGGCCAGGAAGTTTGCCCTGAGGGGCCCCAGGGTGTGAGCTCCTGCCAGGGGCGTGTGCCACTGAAGTTACTCCCTGCTCTGGTCCCTCTTCCCCACTCCCAGGCAGTAGCCCCCAAATGGCAGTAGCTGGAGGGTTGAAAGATGGAGCTGCTGTTCAGTTGGCCCCGCAGCATGCCCACCTGTGGGCACTGCCTTTGGAGGTGAGCAGCCCAGGTGCTCAGCTGAGGCTGTGGCCTTTGGAGGCTCTGGAGAGCGGAGCCCTTCCTCAGCCATAGGCCCTTTGGGCTTCATGCCTGACAACCCCCTGCCTTGCACCTCTAAGGCCCTGCAATGGGGCTGAGGTAGTTGCCTGCCCTGCTTTCTTCCTCTTGGGACAGCTCTGCAGGGCAGAGGTAATTCTCCCTCCTCAGACTTGCTTCCTGATGTCCTAGCACCCTGGGTACACTCTACAAACTCTTGGGAGGGGCAACCTGGGGACAAGGAGGTGACGCATGTGCCAGGCTGCATCCTGGGCTGGGGCTCCCAGGCAGCAACACCAGCCCCAGGGAGGGAGGGGGAGCACCAAGCTCAGGCCAGGCTGCTCTGAACTGGTGGAGGGGGCAGGGCCAGGCCCTCAGCAGATGCTGTACATCTGTGGGCTGTGGACCCATTAAACTGGCCATTCTGCCCCTGCCCCTCAATCTGGGGCAGGATGAGTCAAGGTTAGACCCATGATCCTGGGCCCCCCCACTTCCCAGTGTGCCAGGGAAATGGCTCAGAACTCCTTGGGGTCCCAGGACCCTCGAGTCACTGGCAGACTTCCCTGCTGTGGCTTAGCAAAATGGGTCACCTGCACCTCTTATTTCCTGATATGCATCACTGTGTGACTGCATCAGGAGGCACCTCTGGAACTGGGGCATGTTAGAGAGTCGAGGGATTATTTTTATTGTGGCTCTGGGGGGTGGGGTAGTTTAAGGCCAAGGACATGGACCTTCTCAGGGCAGATGGCGGACCTCCTGGCAGGGTGGGGGATGGTTGCATCTTTTAGGCCCTGGGGCCATGCTTACCCCTCCTGCTTAGGCTCCTCATGACTAAGTGTGTGCCCTGACACTTGGACTGGTGTGAGGGTCTCCTTGTGGCTCGGGGAGCAGAATAGTGCCAGGTGTAAAGGGGCCCTGGCCAGAGGCCACAGGATGGCCCTCATACACTGGAATGCAGCAGTAGTCCAGGGCTGGGTCCTGGTGGGGACTTACTGGGCCCCAGCGTCTGGGGAGCTTTCATTGCTCAGGATGGTAGGCAGTGGGCCTGGCATATTTCTGTGTGTCCTGATGGGGCACTAAGGTTTCTGGGCTATGGCTTCGTATAATTTACTGGACCCACAAAAACCAACTGGGGGTGCTCAAGCCCCCAGTTGGGGTGAGTGGGGAGGGAGGGAACTGCTGGGAGAACAGAGGCCCTGTATCTGCCCCAGGGTATACGTGGGTTCTGGAGCATTTCCTGTCCGTGGGGTGCTCCTGTCACACACTGCCCCTCGGATCCTTAGAGTTTACAAGTGGTGACTGCTAGCCCAGGTGGGTGCAATGGCCGCATCCACCATGGTGTGAGGGACCTTGAGACTCCTTCTGTTCCTCTGAGCCCTCGAGACCTTGTTCTGGCTAAGACGGGGACCCCACAACCCTCTAGTTCTCACCTTCCTGCCTAGGCTGCACTTAGAATCCCCATAGTGTTCAGGCCTAGCCCCTTCAGGTTGGAATCAGCCTGAGGGACCTGGTGCTTATGGCTCTAGGCCATAATTGTGACCAGCTTCAGCAGTTCTTATTGGGTACAGGACTTTCCTCCCTCTGACTGACTCAGATGCCTGCAGCCGTCCCGGGGGCTTCTTTTTGAAATTAGGCCACTAACTGGGCCACCAGGTGAGCACACACAGGTTCCTTCCACTGACCTAGAAATGGCCCCCCTGGGGTCAAGAATTCCCAGTGGGTCAGGTGGGATTTTTTTGGGGACGGCACTGAGACCCCATCCATGCCTAATAGAACCTGCAGGAGAAGTGCAGGACTGGGGCCCCTTGTGCTGATTTTAGGGCACAGGCAAAACTAGATGAAGGGTGCTCTGAACTCTCTCCCCATTGGCAGCACCAGGAGGGAGGAGAGTGAAGCCCAGAGTGCATGGGTCACTGGACACAGCCTGGGCTGTGGTCTCTCCAGGTGGGGCCAAGGCTTTACTGGTCCCTCTGTCATGAGGTCCCTAGGGAGGGATGGGGAGGTTGTGTTGGAAGGTCTGTGTAGGGAAGGAGATGGTCCCTGGCCCCAGCGACCATCCCTGCTGACAAAGTAGCCAGTGCTGGCCTGGAGCTGAGAAGGGAGACTGGGTTGGCCGTTCTTCACTGCCCTGTGCCCATGAGCCTGAGGGCTCAGTGTGAGGCGCAGAGCTGCACCAGGCAGGCAGGTCTGTGATACCCTTTTTCTGGGACTCGGGACAGAGGCTGAGCTGGAGTTAATGTCCTTTGGTTTCAGGGGACATGCTGATTTGGTTCCTGTCCCTCAAAACAAAACTGCAGAGGCAAACAAAGGAGTTGAGAAGATGCCGAAGGAGACATTTCAAGTTAAACAGAGTTCATAAACAAACTAGACTGTAGAAGGTGGCTCACTTCTCTAATCTTAGCTACTCAGGAGGTGGAAACTGGAAGGATCATGGTTGGAGGGCAGCTAGGGGCAAAAAGTGTGAGATACCCCTGACCCCATCTCAATAAACGGCATGGTGGTGTGTGTCTCTCCTCAGTTATGCCGGAGGCTGTACTTAGAACTGTAGTCCAAGGCTAGCCTGAGCAGAAACGAAAAACCCTATCTGAAAAATAAACCAGAAGAGGGTTGGGGACTCAGGTTGTACAGTGCCTGCCTATAGTAAGTGTGAGGACCTGAGTTCAAACTCCAGTACGACCAAAAAAAATCTCTAGATGGTTTTTATACTGCCATAGAAAGGTAGCAAATGATTTTAACAATTTACAAGTGCAAAAATCAACCTATTTCCAAGGAAGCCACAGCTGGTCAGCTCCCATATACTTCATTTACATCAGATGAGACATCTGACTGTCACCAGTAGGTCCCCAGCTCTCCCCTGGCCCCATCAGGAAACATGGTA